GGGGGGGGGGGGGGGGGGGGGGGGGGGGAGGAAAGACGGCTGAAATACAGAAAAATGTGGTCCGATATCCAGACGACTGCAAATCGAATTTTTATGGAAATCTTCAGAGGAATAGGTGATGAGCCGAGGAAATAGACCGAAGTTGAATGGATTACTTGAATGCAACTCTGAAGAAGGAAAATTTTGGCAGGATATAAGCTGTTCCAATTACCAGACGTCATGATTACCACATGGGGCGTGCGATAGACTTACCTCCACTTGGTACATCCTGGGCAATGTATACTCATACGGCAAAAAAGGCTATAAACCGGNAAGTCAGCTAAAGGGCTAATGATTACTATCAAAACGCTTGATTGATATTCCGACAAATGCTATTAAAAAGTCTTTATCAAGGCATTAAAACAATGGAGTTGATCTCGGGATTCAAAGTCATTCTTTAGCAAATTAATAACCAATTTCATGTTGAATAGAGGTTTTCTGAGATTTTTATATAGCAAAACCGTCTTAAACTCTGCTCTGGTATCCGAAGTATTGGAATTCAGATCATAATTGAAACTCTTTAGTAATAAATGACTCTAAATTCGCTGTGAATTCTAACTAGTTCTAAGAATAAAATCGTCAGAAATTACCTTTTTTAATTAAAGTCACCGAATGGCCTGTATTTAGTCTCTACATACCTCTGAGTGCCCAGCTTCCATCTACAAACTCTATAAATCTTGGAATAATCTCTTATCAATCCATTTTTTGAAATTTCGACTTATTAATTGTAAAATATGCTTAAAGATTCACTTCTAATTTGCCATGTGACGCTCTGCAACAACGAATAAATTGGTGTTCAGATTATCGATGTTGCATTTTTTGAAAAAAATACTTGATGAATATGAAATTTTTAAACTCTCGGTCAATTTTTTCCGGCAGTTAGACGCTTGGCGCAAACTGATAGTGGTATTGATGATTTTTCATTCTCTTGCGGTATAAAGAATAGAACATGTTCTCTGAGGGCAAGGCCATGGCGACAGTCGGGCCTGCTTATCTACCTGAAGGTCCTCGAAGATTCGCAGCTGGAAATATTCAAGTTAAATCAATTTCTCCAAAGGCATGTTGACTTTTTCATCATTTTTATCTAATCTTCATTACTTGTTATAAGTAAAATAAGGTTTTCTTAATTAGAACGTGATAATTTAATTATCTCAAGTCTTAATGCCATAAATTTGTTGCAAATGCACTTTATAAATTAGTTCTAATCCAAGCATCTGTTACATCAACAATATTAGTGTCATTATAAAGGGTTTGGTGAACATTTTTGAACAACAATAAGCATATCGATCAGGAAATTTCTTTCTAATTGTGGAACCAATCTGTCGGAACGAAATTGTTTACACAGAGATTCTGGTTTTAAGAGAGCTTTATTTTCGTTACCATTGTTATGAATGCACAGGAGGGCTTATAGTTAAGTGAAGTTAGTTCGCTGAAAATTGCGCCAGTAGGTTGTGTGAGTTCATATCTGTTGTTTTAGGAATAAGTACGAAACTGGAGAAAATATTAGCCGTTTTGAAGGTTGTGCTTTGTACTAATCCTTATGATGTTCTGGATTGGGGGTGTGCGATAGACTTACCTCCACGTGGTGCACCCTGGGCAACGTATACTCGTACGGCAAAAAAGTCTATTAATCGGCAGTTGACTTCTGAGTTCAAAATACCATGGCACGACTGCTTGTCATATTCGACCGCTTCCGCAGTACTCATCTTACCCTTTTCTCTGTCTTTGTGTCTGTCTGCCTCTTTTACATCTGTGAATCATTATTCTGCCCCCCTCTCGACGTTTTCCCCCTTTGCTGTTCATCTTCCTTTCTGTGAAGCCTGAAGTCAACTAAAGGGCTAATGATACCTATCATAACCCCTGCCATTTGAAATAAATGTTCTGGATGGACTCAGGGGAAGGCATGAACGCCAGGATTGTTGAACTTATTCCTGCTTTTAGTAACTGCTAGAGATAGTGAACCACTGCTACCTTTAAGAATCTTAAGCCCATAAGGTCTTACAAGGTGTTTTGAAGTTCTCAAAAGTAGAATGACGGGATTTTAAATGGACAGTCGGCGTATGGGACAATTGCAATAGCAGACGAGTGGAGAGCGGGAGTTGCTGGAAGTGGAGGTTGGTTACGCGACTGAATTGCACACGCAGGAATGGAGACGTGTTTGTAAGACAAATAAAAAAGCCTAGAGTGTCTGTTTTGATATTGCCTCTATGTGTCACCTTGTGGATGTGTAAAATGAACAGCTTTATGAACGGTCACGTGATTTAATACATTTACTTTGTTCAAAATGCCTCTGCGATGCAAATTCAATTTGTTACCTGTATCTACCACAATTACTTTAGTGAAAATCGAAATATTGAATGCCATTTATTATCCTTAATCTGACTTGTGTTTAAATGAGAATATAGTGAAATCCCATCCCCGTTTTGTCGACAAAAAGATTCACGTGAGCCGAAAGTCAAGGAGGAGGAAATCAACCGGTTAGATGATAATATACAGATCAATATTTGTTAATAATTGAAACTATTCCAATTATGCTATTTCAACGATGGAACCCTTATAAATCATCCATTTCTTTTTCACCAATCAATATATACATAATATAATTGGCATTAAGGTACAATTGTAGCATTTTGTCCTTTATATTGGATCTAATAAGAAACTCTTGACTTTCAATGCTTTCTAGACTAAAGTTTCGGAGTTAATCAAATTCTACGAATTTAAACAGAAAGAAAAGGATGAGACGAATGCTGATCCAGTACAACGAACTGTCAGCCACACTTCATTAACATCAACGATTTCCACCTTTTCTCTGAAATCATCCAATATGCAGAAACAGGGTTTCAATCCTTCTGTGTGCTTTGAAGACTCGGCTAGCACAATATCATCCGCCGATAGCAGACAAACTGGCCTACCTGTACAGAGCCTGATTCAATCGTTTGAGGAGAGGGTCAAGGACACAGTACATGTTCAGAAGACCAAAACGTCCCCTGCTTCTTCTTCCACCCACAAAGCTGTGCATGTTATATCGTCACAGCCCCGCCTGAATTCGGCCGGAAGCAGTATAATTCAGTCCACTACAGTTCGAGTTAACTCTACTTCTTCCCAGGTAAAGGAGACGAGAGCCCCCAGTACTGCAGCCTGTTCCACTCCTCATTTTCAACTCGATCGTTCCACCACCCACACAAACTCAGTCTTCAGCAAGAAAGCAGATAATCTTGTTTCTACAAATGCAATCAAAGAAGAGGCTGTCACTGCAGTGATCTCAGCTGCTTCACGTAGCCACAGCATTGTTCTATCTCACCCACCTTCTGAAAACTTCAATGTCCACATCGCGTCTGATCCTATTGCTGATCACCTTTGGCAATTAGCAGGCCGTAATGGAGATGTTACAAAGTATAGAGCTCTCCTTAAGTGGTGTCAAAATCGACTTGAACGCTATCGAGGCGTGAAAGTGATGAACTTCTCGTTTTCCTGGAATGATGGACTGGCACTGTGTGCTCTTCTCCACACATATGTGCCCCAATTGATTGCCGAGAATTGGACTGAGCTTGTGTATAAAATGAATAAGAAGAAAAGATTCGAAGTAAGCGACTATTTCTTCTCGCATTTTGATCAATAGTTAACATTTTATTGATCTGTCGGTAGAAGGAAAAGGTAACTAGAAAGGTGCGTTAATTCAACTATTTACACATTTCTTTATTTCCCTCTTCAGAATATTTAGCCATAAGCATTCAACAGTTGTCTCAATTACTGGTGTTTTCCAAAAATCCTCCCAGGGCGGTTAGACGCAAAATTCCTTTCATGAAACTACATTTTGGAACAAAAATAACCGCCCACCCGAATAAGCGTTCATGAACGATAATACAGATGGAACATGTTTCACCTAAGAGCGTATTGCGTGTTAGGAATGACTCATCCTTTATGGGGGGGGGGAGTCAAGCTTCAGTCCCAAATGGAGAAAAACTGTAAGACTGCAACTCCAAATAACCGCTCTTGCGGATGGGAGGAGTTTTGGAAAACCCAGGTAAAAAAGGCAATATACTTAATGAGGGAGAGTGTTATACGCAAACTATCACCTCTCAGCTTTTCTGGCAAGTAAGATATTCTTCGCGCTTTGCTCCTAAGGAAGCACTTAACTTACAGACCGGAGGCTACCTAGCTATAACTAGAAGTTAACTGATCTTTTAATAGTAGTTTACGATTTTGGAAGTTGTCCAACAACTATATGGCATTTGTGAGTATGGAGATGTAGCATAGTAAGGTAAGGTTTGCTTGGAATTAAAATGTCATTCTTTTCCTTGTTGTATCACAATTACATATGAGCCTTGATTAACGTATTACATTTTGGCATATTTCATTCTTTCAGCTTGCTTTTAAAGTCGCTGAAAGCCTGGGTATTCCAACTACATTGGATTTACATGAAATGACAACCAATCGTCGCCCAAAATGGGCTCCTGTAATGAGCTACATCGCCTCTATCTACAAGCACTTCGAAGTCTACGCTGAATCCACATCTTAATCACCTTGATTTCCCTCCCCTTCCTCTAATTTTTGTGTGAGCATACCTCCTACGTTAGTCACCTTCCCTCAGGCCCACATTTACCCTTGACTTGGTACCAACAGATCCGTGTCCACTGAAACCGCCCACCAGAGCCTAGACCTCTCACCCAAGTAGCTGGTCAAATAGGCCATCAAAATGTCGCCTGCCTACCATATTCGCAAGTTTTTTCCATCTTTTAAATCTTCTGAAAAATGTTACCTACTTCCCCCCTCCCTGTAATTCAATCCTATGTATGTATTCAATCTTGATTTATTTCTCCATTTGAAGGGTTAGTGTTCTAATGGATATAATCTAGTTTTGTTCATTATAGCGTCAATTTAAAATCCCTTGGGTAGATACATGACCTTGGTTGGGCACAAAAAAGGGGACGTGCACGTCGAAGAAAGCCTTATAAACAAACTAAATCACCGAGACATAACGAAGAAATCTCGTACGCACTTGAGCAGTCTGGAAAGTACGTCGTGAGTGCAAAGACCTCTCAATAGACGAGCGATCAGTAGTCGCCTCAGTATAGCCCTAATCTTATATTAATGACTAAGTTTTGTGACAAGGAGCCCCATATTATCTCTTTTCTCAATACTGTTGATTCAGCCTAGCTAACCTTGGAATTTTGCCTGTGGTTTATACAAGGCATTAAGATTTATTTTTTTTCATTTATTGCAAGTGAAATGAATATGTTTTCTGAAAAAGCATGTGCCGGTACAAATACAAATTTAGAAGTACTTCCATTATCGATTAGGGCATTTGAATATCAATAGTCACGAAAATACACTGAAAATCTACTTCTTCTAACATTGTGTTAAATAACACTCGCCTTCAATAGACTCGGAGACCAATTCGATTTATTACGAACAGTCACTTCTTATGCGGGTTACAGTTGACATTGAGGTTAAAATTACCCATATTTAGTGGAAGTTGACAAATTTCATAAACTTAATTCTATTACATTTTAGTCAGCTGCTGAAATGGAAGTTTAAAGAGTTAGCCTAATTAAGATGCTTCACTACGATCTAGTAGATGAAATAGGAAATGTCAGGACATCAGTATGGAGGATTTCGAGAAGAGATCAAAATGTGTTGGTAGCTAATGTGGATTCATAGGTAAAGCATAAATTTGCCTAACATCAGTTACGTCTCAATGTAATTATGGTGTCTGTGGATATTCTATTCGAGATCGTATTACCAATCCGTCACTTATAATCGTCTGGTGTTGATTGACATCTGCTGTCAGTTAGCAAAGCGTTCCATTAAGAAGAAAATAATCCTTTAGTGTAAATTTCCGAGATCACTACTTTTTAACTCGATGTTTAATTCTTGGTTTAATAATAGAAGAACAGATCATATGCCTTTTATAGATTAATTAGTAAATTTGATTTAACTCAACTAGAGGAACGCAATTTGTTGAACTGAAGGAAAATTGTGAATTATATTCAGGAATTTAGTATGAATCCTAACAAGGCGGTAGAAAAGAACTACCTACAATGGAAAAGTCAAATAATACAAATGTCCTAAATAGGACATAATTAAAATGCGTATATCAATAACGAAGAATCTAGAATGTTACATTGTGAATGATGAATATATATATATATATATATATATAGGGTTAATGATTCATTAGAAATCGAATTAATCCAAGATAGTTTTCTGCTTAAACGGCATTTAATGAATTTTAGCTATTCGGGAATTTTTTAAATTTAAGCAACACTCATAGCAATGTTTGTAAGCATAATTGTGCGCATCATGTTAAGCCAAAATTGTACATTTTTAAGCACATTTAAAAAGAAATAATTATGATTTTTTAATAAAATTAGTCCTAACAATGCGTTATAGTACTTATTTTTTTACAAATTCCATATAAGCCACTAAATTAGTCAGCCGCATTAATAAATATTTGCGGGCCGTTTGAGCAACATTTGTGACAATATTTAACTTGTCGTTTATGGGCGTGTCGTCCTCGGTTTTCCTTACGCACTTCTTACTTATTGGGAAGTGAGCTCCTTAATTGCTTGATTAAAAAATGGAAAAAACCAAACCCGTGAGTCATTATTTGTCTTTCTTTAAGTTGTAAATTGTTTTCGGTCTCTAATCAAAACGATCGCGTTTTTAATCTTGGTTGTTTTATTATTCATGTAGATTTTTTCTTACCATAGCTTTACTACCTTTTTTAATTTTTTATCATTGAACTTCAGTAAACGTCTTTTTGGCGGATATAAGCTTGTCAAACAGAGTACTCTTTGTTACCTTTATACCAGTTAAGAGACTAGAGGTCAATTTTTATCTACACTGCACCCTAGGTTTCAGATTGAAATCGGGAATTCTTACTTTCCGTAGTTTCATTCGTCTTTTGCTCAGTCTTACTTAAAGTGTGGTAGTTGCCTAATTGATGCTTCACCTTTTTACGTAGGCGAATATCTTCAAAATTATCAACTGCCAAATTTATTTCCCAATCATAAATGCTCTATAATTCCTAATCGATGCCGCTTACACCACTTTCAACTTCATTATAGTTAGACCTTTCTCGTATGTCGCACTCAGAGTTAAAGGACAGTGGGAATCGTTTCTTCGCCGCTTCTGACAATAAACGGGCAATTGAATGCTACACTATGGCGATTAAAAAGAATGGTTCGATTTCTACGTACTACTCAAATCGGGCTCTCTGCTATCTACAGTTGAAGATGTATGATCAAGCGCTTGCCGATTGTCGGTATGTTATTCAACTTTTTGTTTATACTTGATGATTTATCTTAAATCGTCACGATTTATACTTTAACTTTTTTGTAGACGCGCTCTCGAATTAGATCCGAACAATTTGAAGGCCTTTTTCTTTGCTGGTCAATGCCATCTGGCAGTCGGCCAGTATGATGAGGCCATTGCAAAGCTTACAACAACACATTCTCTAGCTCTCGAAACTCACAAAAATTTCGGAGATGATATTACCGCCTCTATTCGTCTTGCCAAACGCAAACGATTTGAGCAGTTAGATGAAAAACGCAAGCAAGAAGAAATTGAACTTCAGGTAACCTGAAACCTCATTTCCAATGTTCACTTTCCTTTCAGTCGTATCTGAGTAAACTTATCATTGAAGATGGAAAGCGGCTATTGAGGGTCGTTAGTGGTGAGGATTCGAATAAGTCAGAGGAAGATTCAAAGAAGAAATTTAGCGAGAATAAAACTATTGAAGATGATGATAAGGACATTACAGATGTTAATGTCCAAGTATCCATTCGCAAGCCACCTCTCACAGCAAGTCAAATTGAAGCAGAAACGGCTGCTAGATTACGAGATTTGGATGCGATTTTCGCTCAAATTGACGATAGACGTGCCAAACGCGAAATTCCCGACTATCTCTGTGGGCAAATTAGTTTTGAATTGATGCAGGATCCTGTTATCACCCCCAGTGGTATCACTTATGAACGGGAATCAATACAGGCTCATTTGCGGCGGGTCGGACATTTTGATCCAATTACACGTCAACCTCTGACCCAAGAACAATTGATTCCTAATTTAGCCATGAAAGAGGTTATATCAAAGTTTATTGAAGAGAACCCCTGGGTCGATGGATTTTAGTTCCCTATTTCCTCACTGTTAGCTCATTCATCTTCTTCACTCGTTTCCCCACTTTTGTACAGACTGGTTTATTTTCTTTCCTAATTTTTCTTTCTCATTAAAAGTGCTGTTTTTTAACCCTATCCTTGGGGCGTCTTTTGTTCGATATTTCGATTTGAATAGATTAATTCTTTCTTTGTGTAATTAAGGCGATGAGTGACCAAAAGGAGGAAATTTTGACTGCTAATGCCAGTCGTTTTGCCCGAAGGCGAGGTCGCGGTCGTACGTCCATGAATGTAAGCTAACGGTTCTATTGCTTTTAACGTTGTAAGTAGTGAGTAGTTAGTCTGAGAATGTCATGTTTTTTAGATGCGACGGCGTTTGGTGCATCATGAGGAAGAGGTTGTCACAGGCGCTTCTTTGGCTAACGAAACTACCACTAATAATAATTCTTCAGATGGAAGTGATAATAATAATCAAATGGCAAATATCTCCGATATGACCCCCATTGACCCTGATGATGAATGTGTGATATGCCGGGATCGAAAAGTGAATCAGTCTTTTCTCATACCGTGTATGCATACCTACTGCTACCAATGTATTCTCCGATGGGTTCGTATCAACCCCACCTGTCCGTTGTGTAAAGCCGCTGCGCAGAAAATAATCCATTCAATTAATTCCGATACGGATTTTCGGGAGTACGAAATTCGTTCTCATCAGTCTCCTCATCACATCCCCAGCGGCATTCATATCCACTCAAGCAGTCCTCACATGTTTTTTACCCTCGCGCATGATATTTTAGCAGCCGGCCCTCAGTCTCCTCATGGTCCTGAATTTAATCCCGTGTATGTTTATACGTATTATCCGTTTACATAATAGAGGAATAGTTAAGATGACAGTGATTAGTTCGCATTTGTAGCTGTACAATTACTGTTATTTCTTACGACACAATAACGATTAGTATTCGAAGTAGCCTAGCAAGTAAGAGAGAAAAAGCGGTTGATTTCTTCACTTCGAAAATGATAATTTTTTGTTCTGTACAGCTCTTACCGACTGGTAAATTAATTTATCACAGTTCTTTTTTACAATGCCGAAAATACTTATTTACATCAAATGGCAGGCTTTATGATAGTTGTCATTAGCCCTTTAGCTAACCTCGGGCTTCACAGAGGGGAGGAACATCAATGTGAGAAAAGGTGGAGAGGGGGAACAGAAGAGTGATTCACCGATGTATAAGGGACAGATATCAAGGTAGAGAAAAAGATTAGGCGAGTACTATGGAGGTGATCAAATATGACATGCAGTGGGGTCATGGTGGCTTGAACTCAGAAGTCAACTGCCGGTTTATAGACTTTTTTTGCCGTATGGTAAGTCTATCGCAAATTTAGCATTACAAAAAGGATACTTTTTAAGAGGACTTCAATGATCATGTGTCCAATTTACTGCCCTACCTATTCTTCAGGCTTTACGTTCTAATAAGCTTCACTGCAATAAAAGTTGGATTGAGATTAGGCAATTGCGGCGGTCAAGATATTGTATTGGCAGAGGTTTTAAGGAGGGAAAGAAGATCAGAAGAGATGGAGTGGTCTTAAATTGAATACTGTTTGAATTTAGAGAGGAGGTTTATGCATATTATGATTCAAGTCACTAGTTGAGTTAACCTGGTCGGGTCAATCAGTCAGTGTTCCTACAGCTTCAAGTGTCTTGTGTCAATAAACTTCAGGTTATTTGATCGCACAGGTCTTGAGGACACTTGGAAGTCTCGAATGTCGAACCAAGTGTTAAGTTCTTTATCTGTAGCAAATGGGAAACGTTTAACGCCATTTATAAATGCTCGCAATTAATTTCTAAGTGCACATTACGAAAATCTTTTCTCTAATTTGGTTTTAGGCAACTTCGCGCATTTGACTTGTCTTCACGAATTCACGGCTTTGATCCAAGAGCGGAGGCTTTACTTGCTTTAACATCCCATGCTTTAAGATCGCCACTGAGTCCCGACCTTCTAAGAAGACTGGCCTACGTGAATCGATTGGTCTCCTTCCCAACCAACTCCACTTTGCCGATTTGCACCGTTTTTGAGGTTATAGCCAAACTACGCGACTCTCAACCCCGTAGTACGTACATTAGAAGCCTAGAGCTGTTTTGCCGTCGAGAAATTGGATACCTAGCTCCCTGGTTGGATTACTCCACTTATCGAAATGCTCCCGCACTTGAAGTGGCCTGCAAGCCAATTGGATCACAAGCCTTGTGTGTTACTTCGAGAAGCGTGAAGAATCTCTCACGTCGTATTATTCAGTGTATCCATGCGAATCCATATCGTCTGAATAGTGTTGCTGAGTTGGCATCGGAAATTCGACGCATTGATAGATATACAGCTGGTGGGGATGATATATTTCAACTTCTTTCAGGTGGCACTTTGCAACGATTTGCTTGGGAGATTATCCAGTTCTCGCGGTTTAATGGGAGCGTGAATCAATACTACGATGAGATTTCACTCTTTCGTGATGGTATTTTGTTGACCTTGCTTGTTTCATGACTGTCTTTAACTGATTAAGTAGGAAAGACGAGAAAGAAATAGTAGATTTTCCTTCTCTCTTTATGCTTCTCTGCCGTATCTGTGATCTCTACTCTTGTCACACTAAATTTCAATGGTCGTGATAATTTTCAGGCAATGTTGGTAGAATACCTACTTCATAAGCACTGGCTTCACGATGCATCCCCATAAGAGTATTTGCACTGTTCTTGTTTCTATCTCATTACTTTCCCTTTGACTCATTTGTTCATATATCTCTATTTTTGATTTGACATTCATTCCACTTGGGAGTTTACTGCTCTATGGCATACATGTACCCACCATCGATGCATTGATACTTTAAGTCCAATTAACTCTGGTGGAACGAAATTGTAGGTCGGGCAAAAGGTAGAGAAATTTGGTGCATCTAATTCCTTCTGCTTCTTTGTCTTCACTACTTGGTTCGCAAAGATGCGTACAATTACTAATTCAAAAAGTCCTTTGTAAAATTCTGGGATAGGGTATGGAGAATCAGTGGCTTCTTCGGTAGTCCCAAGCCCCATTACTTTCTCTCCTCCAGACGTTCACATACAATTTTTTAGAAACGAAAATTGATACTTTTTGTTGTTTCGTCTCTATGGCAGTCCGGTTTTTGCCAATGACGTGTTGATAACTATGACATTGTATAAACTTCATTCCTGGTTTTCCTTGGTATCTGTGTGTTTAGGGCAAAAGAATTGAGGGGGACTTTCCATTGCCGAACCATGTATGATGCGATAATTTCTCGCATTTTATAGTTCTATTAGAGCTTAATATTATGATAAGGCGCTTCTCATTGTCAATGAATGCCTTAAGCAATTATTATTGGACATCGGTTAGTAATACTATGGAAAGGCGCAATAAAGGATATATTCTACAAAGATCCCGGTAAGAATCTTTGATTAAGAAACTCGCTTTTCAATCTAATAGTTAATTATTTCTAATGATTAGCCATTAATGTTACCAATAGAGGAATCCGATGTTCAAACCGGAACATTCTTTTCTAATGCACTTTTTGCTATATTTTTAGACATAATTCGTCATCGTAGTGATCCCGTCCTGAGTAATGCTGTCTACTCGTCCGCTAATTGTGGCACCCGTACTCGATTCGCACACAATTTCGATGATATCTGTAGAAATACTGCGCAGTGGTTATTCCGCAAGCTTACCGGTGCTACCCATAGTCCCTATACTCCACCAGCCTCTTCAAATGCAATAAGACCCCTGGAACAAATCGGTTGCTCGTTAAGAGATCCTTCCATTTTCAATCCTCGAAGTATCCTTAGTCATGGGAATTTTGCGCAACATCGAATCGAAGGAATTCGGGCACTCCTGTCTTTCATGTGCATTCGTTACCATTCTCTGAGTCCTCAAACATCCGTGATCGAGTTAATTGACATGGGCAGGAGCTATGGGATATGTGGTCGTCTTTCCACCTTTGATCACCGCCTTCTCACTAAGCGTCTCGCTAATGTCACTTTTGCATTCACAAATCGCTCAATTGAACTAGGATCTCTTCATGATATCACCGACAATAATACGTATAGGGTATTCGCCGAAGAGATAGCAAGTCTTAATAATAACTCTCAGCAGCTGAGGGTACCTGATGATTCGCACCTCTATTCTTCAAGGTTTATTGTCGTTTCAGATGAAGACAGCAGTAGTAGTAGTAGTAGTAGTAGTAGTGATGATGTGCAATTGCTATCTGAAACTCGTCCAACAACTTCGTCAACGAGTGATCTTCCCTGTTGTCGTGCCCATAAGAGGCATTGCTGTTGTTGTAAGAAACGAACTCCTAGAGTTACAACAAATGAACCCAGTATAAGGGTTGAAGGAATCTCTGCTCTGTTTCAGGAATTCCTTGAATACTGGGAACATCGAAGGAAACGAAGGCGAGTAGAGCCAATTGAGATTAATACTCCTAATGATCCTATTGTTATTTCTGATGACGAGGAAGGAGATAATGAATCAAGTCATGAACCGGGTCCATCAATCAGGCATCCCGAAGATGATTTGGGAATAGTGGAAAAAACGGAAGAGGGTACAGAGTTGAAGCAAAACATTTTGCCACTCCCGACTTCCATTTCACCTCAGCTTGAACGACCTGAAACTGCTGATGAATTCTATACACTCTTGAATGACGCTATGAACCGTGACAATAGTGAAGAAGCTCAACAACCTTCGGCACACCAACAAGAGGACAGCCCAGCCTTTCTACTGCAAATTGAACAATCGAAAACTTCCGATAATGATGAAACTAGTTCCCAAATTCTACTTCCCAACTCTTCTCCTACTCCCATTTCCGAATCCTGAGACAAAACACACTCCAACTGTCTACTCTCACTTCCCTATGTTTATTCGTATGTAAGAGGGTTGAATATATCTAAACAGCCCTATTGTAGGATACAAAATTATTAAATAAAAGCTGAATCTTTTATTACAATATTAGCTAAATGGAAACGGGGGCGTTCGAGGAATTGGACTATTTTTCGGTAACTCTGAAATGGTTGTCATCCACAGTTGAATAAACGTGTCCTTCAGCACTGAGGAAGTCCAGTTCATCTCTTAAAGTTGAGAAAGGAGGTAAGAATCAAAAATAATTGAATAAGATCTTTATTCATAGAAAGGTTACCTAATTTGTCTCTCAGGGACACCGCGTAATTTTTCACAAATCTGACTGATGGTTATGCCATCATCATCAACTGCCGCTCGCACACAAGACAGAACTTGTGACTGTAAAACCGTCAGACCGCGAATATTAGTAACAGGGATCATGGATACATCCTTAGAAGATATATCCGTAGAATTTGTGTTATTTGATTTCGCGTGAACCATTCGAGCATAGATGGTTTCGAGAATGTGGCAAGTTAGTTCATTCATGTCGGTAACTGGGACTACCTTAAAGGCGACGACATTGATGGTACCTTGAAAACTGCGGACATGACCATAGACACGGACATATGTCAATTCACGAATAGCACGACTACCACCATGTTCAGTGGACGAATCCTGTGACATTTATGAAGTGTAGAAATGCACAGCCTACCTCATCATCAACAAACTGCTTAACTAGAATAGACGGACCGGTATAATCATCAACTTCGTAATCAAAGCGAGTTGATGACTCGTTCACGGAACGAACTACACCAACTAGTGTGACCTGTGAAAAATGAATTCCTGTAGAAGACACAAATTTATCGCCGTCTTGAGTAGCTGAACAGATCTCAGCACAGGTGCAAGGTACTAAACCACGAGAGTTCATTCCTTTCTAAGAGGGAGAACATCTTGAATATATTAGTAATCATACCTTAGAATCTGCAGCTGGAAAATTTTTGAAAAATCCCCCACCTACATCAGAATTTGTACTGAAACTCCCAAAATCTAGATTTTAAATCTTAGTAGTTTTGGAATACCTGCAGAAGACCACATTTTAAATGAAATTTCGATTTATGCGGCAAATATCTGCCCAATAAAAACATCCGACAAAATACACGCAATGATTTCATTGGCTTATCATATTAGACTACAACAATCTTTTGAATCGGTATATGCAGCGAAATTGATTTTAAAACTATATTTGAGTAAATATAAGGCCAAATGAAGCTTTTATCCTCGTTCTACTATTTTAAATCATAATTTAGTGCCTTGTAGCCAAATTAGTATAAATGTGGCGAAATGTGGTTGTCGTCAATACGATGTCCTAACAGTACTGATTAATCGGATTACTTTGTTTGTTTAGGTTGATTTACTTATTAAAGAAATATAATTTTAACCAGTGGTGCAACTAACCAACAGAAGTTATTTGTTGTAGGCTTATTAATTGAGATCCAATTAGGAAAATGAATTAACTCCGTGTATTCTATAAAGCGTTAATAAATAAATTGAATCCATAGTGACTTTTACACAAAATGTCTCTATATCATGCATAACTCGAAATATATATCACTTAAGTAGCCTCGGTGACTAAGAGGAAAGCATAAATTGAACGAACCCATTTGGCATATTGGAATAGTTCCCTCGGAAAAAAGGTCAGTTTTATGCATCAGTAGCTAGAAGTTGATAGAGATTATATCTACCGGTATAACTTGGTTGGTTACAATAGAGATTTCTCCACGTGGTGCACCCTGGGCAAGTATATTCATACGGCAAAAAAGTCTGCTGACTTGCAGTTGACTTCTCACATCAAACTACCATCACCTCACTCCATGCCATTTTCGACTATTTCCACAGCACTCACCTTACCTTTGTTCTACCTTTGTGTTTGGCTCTTACATCTTTGAAACACTATTCTGTTCCCCCCTCTCGATATTTTTCAAATTGATGTTCCTTCCTCCCTGTGAAGCCTGAAGTCAACTAAAGGGCTAATGATAACCATGAAGACGCCTGCCATTTGATTTAACTGAATAGTTTCTGACGTTTCAAGCGTTATTCGCGGTCGTTAGCTGCTAGCTTTCATCTTGTCACTTTTAATCCTTTTTTCGAGTACACCTATTTCTTTGGTTTGAAGAGACTTAATCTAGTGACTATAGTTTCAGCTACCGCAGTACTGCAACAATACTAAGGTTATCTGTTTATAATTGACTTAAATGTCTATTAAGATTCTGATTTTGCAGATGGGTGGCTTGTGAATAGCCATCTCAGAGCATTCCTCTAGAAAATACCATTGCAACAGTAATGAAAATCTTCTCAACCCTCCAACCCTAAATTCTAATTTGATCCATCATATTCCAATAGAAATGAAAAGAGAAGTCTCCGCGGAGCCATGACTTCGGTAAGTTGATCATGCTTCCATGCACATGATGACTGCAGGCAAGTAATAAGCAGCCAATCCCACCAATTCCAGTCCTCATTTCCCTAGGTCAAAAATGGTCAAATGGGAAATTTATGCATGAATGTTTGCCAAGAGGGATTCAATGCATTCGCTCTATCACACGTCTCAGAATATCGTTCCCAGTGCTAATACTAGATTCAGCATCACCTTCTGAAAAACATTCTTTAGAGAGCAGCGAAATAAGCTCTTCTAGCTGAGAGAAGATCGACAAATAATCCTATTCTTATTATTGGAGTTCCTTTTCACTTCCCATAAAAAACATTTAATACTTCTGAAGCAATGCACTCGCTTGTCTGTTTATAATATCCTTTCTAATAAATAGATATGCACACGTTCTTGCAGAATTTTATTTATATCAAATGGCAGGCGTTTTGATAGTTATCTTTAGCCCTTTAGTTGACTTCAGGATTCATAGAGGGGAAGGAACATCAAAGTGAAAAAAGTCGAGAGGGGAAGGAGGGGTGGAACAGAGGAGTTTCAAAGATGTAAAAGAGACAGACACAAAGTTAGGAAAAAGGTGAGGTAAGTACTGTAGAATTAGGCGAATATGACATACAGTAGGATCATGGTAGATTGAAATGAGAAGTCAACTGCCGGTTAATGGGCTTTTACCGGATGAGTATACGTTACCCAGGTGCACCACGTGGAGGTAAGTCTATCTCACACCCCACTCTTGCAGAAGTATATATATGCACATTTATGGGAAATGAAGGTGATATAATCATATGGAGTGATTTCCAATAAGATTAAAATTATGTCCTCATCCTTTCTTTATAGGTGGAGATACAAGACTAGTGATGTGGGAGCAAATAAAGCATGTTCTTTGTGATGTGCATCACGACAATAGAGAATGAATATGCCAACTTATTCCTGCCACAAGATGAATATGGATGCAGAATTAAATAATGAAAAAATATACAATTAAGAAGACGATAAAATAAAGCTTTTGAACTGTGTGGGATGAGCAATTCATACCCTGTTTAAATTCATGGATCTAATCAACACGCGTTTTCTAACTGGAACATGCATTCGCTAGAGTTGACAAGGCTTTCATTATCTTCATCAGTCTAATAATTTATGTAGTCACCCAATAAATCTCATTGTCAATAGTAATACAAGACTAGGAAATAAAGCAACTTCTCACTTACATCTCTGAATTAGTGAAAATTAGTTGAAGCTAGGTGATATTTATTGAGTGGATAAAAATATATTTCGCGGGAAAACTTTAATGAATTTTGTAGGTGTGTAATATTTTGCATAGCAAACAACAAGGATTAAAGTTTTCTCCTTAGACTCCTTTTCCGATGCATCGTTGATTACTGTCATGGTGACTGGCAGCTGAGCGCGTTGAGCACATAAGATAAGTTTAGTTAGTTAGTAGTAAGTAGTTAGTATCCTTTGTCCATTAAAATTTAAAAAAGTGAGTAAAATAATTAAGGAATATGAAAAAGATTTGGAATTAAGGAGCAAACAAGATAGCATCAAAAGTTATCTAACTTAAATTAAGGCTACTATTACGGCAAAACCACTGTTGTAAAGTAACCAAGCATATGAATTTGTTATTAAGTAAGCTTATTAAGTAGTGGAGATTAAGTTAAATGAATTATAGAAGGTAAACAAATAAGGAGAATTGCTGTGTAGAAGTTTAGTCAAAGGAGCGGCAGGTGATAAAACATGGTAATTATGGGGAGAGGAAGTAAAAGTGGACGAATCTGACAGTATATAGAATTTCAGCTTAGCAAGTGAATTCATGGGATTAAAAGTAGCTGAATCGTAATATGATACTAAATTATATTAACCAGAAATTATTCAGAAACAACACCATTTATTAGAAGAAGAAAATCTGTCCAAAGTTAGATGATTGAATACCTTGCATATTAGATGAATAAATTATTCGAATAAAGCGTTAGCATTTCGACAATAAATAACTTTAAAATAATCTGATTAAATTGATTTACTCTATTGAATTACAGCTCCATCAACACGGCAATTATTGTCATGTCGCAACACTAATTGACAATTTTTTCCCACTGATGGAAACTATTAGAAGTCATATTGCTTATACTCAAATTGTAGCATTATATATATAAATGAGCTAACTAACTTTCAATAAGTATTAAACTTAAATTTAAGAAGTGTGTAAAACTATTGTTTATCTACGCTTTCTCATCCAGGCACATTTGACATACAAAATTTAGAAAGGCTTAGATCGCGGGATGTTCTACGCTCACTTTGTTCTGAGCAAAAAGGGTCCATTTTCTCGTATATGGTTGGCAGCACATTGGGACAAAAAACTTACCCGTGCCCACGTATTCGAGACCAATATTAATGCCAGTGTTGAAGCCATCTTGGAACCGAAGCTAAAGATGGCTCTTAGAACATCGGGTCATCTTCTACTTGGTGTTGTTAGAATTTATTCACGTAAAGCCAAGTATCTTTTGGCAGATTGCAATGAAATCTACGTGAAAATCAAGACATCCTTTCGCCCTGGTATTGTTGATCAGCCAGAAGATTCCAATCGTGAGGCAGCACTTGCAGCGATCAATCTTCCCGGAAATATTCAAGATTATGAAGCCACAATGGCTGCGTTGAAGTAAGTTAATTACGTTTTACTAATCCCTTTAGTGCCATAAATCTGAATTCAATGAATATCAACCAGAGCCGCCCCGAGGATATCACTATGCGAGAGGATTTCGGTGATCTCAATTTAGGGCGTATTGATGATGATTTTGGCGACGCGGCATTCGAAGATCTGCCAAGTCGGGAAATTTTGCGTGGTGCTGAAGCTGGCTATGAGAGCGTCTACGGACGTGGTACAGATGCATCTGGACGTTTTTCAATTCGTGAAACCGATCGGCCCTCTATTCGCACGGATATTGATGCAGATGGTACGCTGATTGGTAGTGGAAAGGATAGGTCGGAGAAGGGTGGTTCTGTTCTCACTCCTGCTCATGACATTGGCCTGGATGATGATTTTGGCGAACCAATTTATGGTGAGAAGTTTCAAATTTAGTCTTTTTAATTTTGAAACATCTGGATGTTCAATGGAGAAAAACTTTAGTGTTCAATGGTATAAGAGATTTCTAATCTTAATGCTTTGAATGCCCACGATCATGTCTTTGAAATATTTAATTTATATTTACGTATTCTTTTAACAGTTTGGCCAATCATCTTAGCTTATGGTAACCGGGATAATTGAAAAAGATCCTAATAAGCGCTTGTTATCATCATTTTTTGTCATTTTTGTCATTGAATTTTGCTGTTGTTACTAAATGGTCAATTGTCAACATTCGAGGTAGCTCTTAGTCTATAATTTTTAGCCATTTGTTCCAAAGTTGTTCTTTTATTTAATTGTAAATAAGGCAGATAAGTATCGTCAATTTCTTTTGACATTTCGACTGCAAGGCCTATGTAAGTGCAAGGCTGTGCATGTTTCTAATCTGTTTCTTCACATTTTCTTTGTAGACGGTGCCTCAGATGGTAGTTTCGGTGGTGATATTGAGCCATCGATTTTCAATAATCCTTCTCTGTTTGACGATCCAGCTACAACTAGCCATATTGCGACTCTAGCCGAAGGTTTAGCGTTATCAGGGGAGCCGGGTTTAGTGGGAAATGATGGCAAGGATTGCAGCGTAATGGATGTCGACGTCATGGATACGACAATTGGCCAACCTAAAAGCAATGGGGCTACGCCTCAAATAGGTTCAACTATTCCCAACCTACCTGGTGCTGTCACTACCTCTGGTCAAAATGCAAATTCGGAAGCCTTTGCATTGATGCCTATTGATGTGCCTACTGTAGTTGCCGAATCAAAAAGGTCAGTTTTTCTTATTTGTATTTGAATAAAGATCTTGTGTGTATGAGGAGGAGATGCATTTTAGAGCCTTCGCTTTAATGATTGCATTCACCAACTCAATTGTGGAAGTAATCTTGATTTCCTAATATTTGTTTAATTTGGGAATTCGTTATTATTTAGAGGTAGTATGATATGTTCTAGCGCTTTTCTTGGGTAAAGGAAAGAAAACATGGGACTTTTATGGCGAATTTTCGTTTTATTGACAATGTCTTAAAATGCGCTATCGAATCTGCCGGGAAAGTTATCTTTGGGCTCGAGTGAATGTGTCGACGAGATATATTGGTTAATTGTGGTCCATTTGTATGACGGAATACGATTTTTTACCAGCCTTCGGTTTCGTTTCTAATTTCTTAGAATTCTTTTACTTAAGGTGGATGTTGAACGGCGCTAGTATCAAAGCATTTGAGATTTATACACACCAAAAAATTTATGAACAATGAAGTCAATAGACGAAGCCATTTTAGCCATTGGGAGTGAGTCAAAAGGTTCTCAAACTGATTTCACGATTTACTTATTGAACAAATGCTTACATTCATTTTTCTACAAAGGCTCCATTGTAGTTTATATATACTTGCTATCTATATTTTTTACCCGCAAATTCTCCCATGGTAGAATTTTGGGGTCTAACCCTGGTAACATGAAATTACAAATTTTTTCGCATTGTTTGAAGACGTAAATCGGATGATTTTAAGGTGCTCTTTTAATTTTTGAAGCTAAAATCTGAGGGAGCTAGGTGTGAACTATAAGGAGGTTGTGGAGGTGTTTCCCATTGAAATTCGTTTAACAGGTCGCTGATAGTTCTTGAGGAATGAGCATAGGCACTGTCATAATGAAGCATAATTTGGCTACTCAGTTTCCCGGGGAGGTGTGTTTTCAACTTCAAAACGCCTTCATAATAATTGTTGGTGACAGTTCTGTTCTTCTAGAAATATCACTCATCTTAAATCCTAATAATAGTGGCCATGGCTTTCTTAACGTACTTTTCAGCTTTAAAATTGGCAAACGCAAATGTTCCCTTTGGATGACACTCATTTGATTGAATTTCTACCGCCAGACCAAATTGGTATGTCTAGGTTTCTTCCCCAGTGCTTGAAAATTATCCTCATTTGTTTCCATCTTTGCCAAAGCTCTTTGGATCAGTTGCTGTCCCTTCAACGCTTTCGGAACCCACCGTGCCCATCTGGAACTTTCTCAAGCAAAGATTTTCCACGAGAATTGATAACACTGTTGTGTGAGCAATTTCTACTTCATTGGCAAAGTTCCTCAAATGTGACTCATCGATATTGTCCAATTAGGTTCTGCACAAGAGATGGTTTCTGGGTTTCTTGCTGTGGTGGTTCTCCATCCTACTTGGGGGTTGTCATCAAGTTGCACTCTTCTCTCTTTTGGGCGTTTAATCAAATCATAAATGACCGCTCTATCTGGTGTAGAGTCCCCATAAAGATGTAAAGCTTCTCTGATCTGAACAAGTTTCCAATTTAATTTAGTTAGCTCTGATCTCAAAATCGGCCGTTTGAAGGGTTGAAAATTGCCATCTATCTTGGGATACAACCTGTCTTGATCCCGACCTTACATGGAATGATCGGACAGTGGCATGTTATTAAGAAAGTTCCTGAGAGATGTGTGATTTCTTTATAACTTGTAAATATTTGCTCTTTTTAAAGTTTTGGCATTTGTCTGAAACCTTTTTGGCTCTCGCTCTCTGCTTTGATTTACGTAATCATTCCTTCTCATAAAATCGTGTTAACTAAAATTGTGTTAACGTGTGATTTCCTTAACATGCTTGTGGGTGTCCTTAATTGGAAAGGGAATGCACTGTATAAATGTAGCTTTATTATTTGTAATCAACACGAAAGCTTTCTTTTCAACAATGTGAGTTTGACAGAGCGGGATTTCTTATACTTGAAATTTAATGGGTTCTCTGCTGTGAAATATTTGCGTGTGCTTTATTTTTGGTCCTTTCGCTTATCTAAGCCAAGTTCACATCTTTTCTGTTTAGAGCCCCAAAACGCAAGCGTCGTTTGATCATTGATGAGCAGAAGTCCATTCCGAGTGAATTGATGAAAACCCAAATGCAGGACACCTCTGAGATTGTAACCCAACTTGACTTGGCCCCACCCACCAAACGTCTAATGCGTATGAAGGAAACTGGAGGGTTGGACAAGCTCTTCACTCTCCCTGGTTGTTCCATACCGTCACGCGTTCTTCAACGCATGTTCACCCGAAATCTTCGCTCCCAGCCTGAAGAGGGACAGGATTCTGCAGTTGCTGCTCTCATGGCAACCGATGATAGTCGTCCCCATCTATTTTTCCGCCCAACAGCCCCCAGTGCTAGCACCTCGGCCATTGAAGAGCAATTACTGTCTGCCGCGGCTACTCCCAGAGTGAGTCCACTGACATGGTTATAATTTTTCTAAATTGATATTCGGTATCTGATTTTCGGATCTAATGTAATGATCATCAGTAGTTGTTACTTTACATGGTCAAACTTTTGTACAATTTTCCCTACGTAGGATCTCCTCTCCGGGTCTGGCTACCACACGGGACATGTGCAGCATCATGGACAACAAGAGGGAGCTTTGGGTCTGGATGCTATTCCAGAGGAATCACTTTCTGGTTATCCTTCTCGCCATGGAGATAAATCAGTGGCTGAAATGCACAATGAGCATCATGTTCTGATGGGTATGTTTGGGCTTGTATGGGTTATATTAGCTGGCCTGTGATTTTTTTTAGAAGTGGCCATCTGCTTGTAATAAATGAGCAACTTCTGATTGTTTGAAACGATTTTAGCGATTTCACTGGGGGTAGGTTGTTTTAAAAATGCGTTTAGTTTTTTGTTTGTTAATAAATCTGGGTCTTAGAAGCAAATTCTACTTATTGTAAATGAGTAGCACGTGATTTTGTTTTATTCGGATGCAGGTTATGTTATCAACCTGTTTAATTGGTTCTTACCCAGGGTTGCAGCATTTACTACAATTTGATTTTAATAGTTAATTGCCTCACAAAAACCATTCTATCTATTAAGGTATAAACGAAAGTGCTCTTATCAACCTGGACGACCCGTTCTTGGCAACAACTTCCCGCTCCACGGATATTCCGGAGCATCACCACCACGCCGGTGCTTCTGACGACGATATAGATGATGACAATGGATTTCCCCTCGATGCCCACTATCTCCAACCCCCTTCTGTTCTCTCGGGGGCCTCACAGGTAGAGTACTGCTACTTTAAATAATGAATAATGTGTGTTGGCTAATTCCTAGGACAATTTCATTGTGGTGGTTGTACTATTTCTCCAAATCAACTGATTAATCTAGTATTTACCTTATTCAGAAATCAGTAACTAATGTGATGTTCTCTATAACATTCCCAAAGCGCATTTACTTATATCTAATAGGTCGCATATATTAGTACTCCTAATACACTCTGTGACATAGTGGATTGTATTGGCTTTGCTGTACTACCTTTTTCTTCCCAGCAGGTCTTCCGCCAGTTAGTTAATATAGTTCATGCATAAACAGAGTTGCAGTAATTTTGCAATTAAGTCTTATTTTCTCCTCTGTAGGGAATTATATTGGACCACAGTGTTGCTCCCCACACACGTGGAAGTTTAGTGGATGAGTTTGGCGGTGAGGAGGAAGATACTTTGCCAGCAATACCCTCAGTTGGTGAAATCCATGGCGAAGGAAACGCTGCCACTGTTGTTGAAGGGGAGGAGATTGAGGAGGAAAGGCGATTGGAGAAACGCTCCAAGGATATGTTGCGTCGTCTTCGGGCACACATTGCACAACATGGCTGGGGAGAAAGTGGCATCTCTCTATTGAAAATGTGTGAGGGGAATAACAAGAAACAGGCAGCTTCTAAATTCTACACCATGCTTCTCCTGCGAAAACAGGGCTCTGTACGACTCTTCCAGGATGGTCCTTACACAGATATTCGGGTGTGTCGAGGTCCTGTCTTTGTTGGGCCTTCGGAGGCAATGTAGTTCGCTTATGTGCTATCACTCATCTCCTTTTGTAATCCCCCCCCCCCTCTGTTGGTATTGACTTTTAGGGTAACTTGTCTGTCTTTTTCCAGATGTGTTGCTGCTTCTGCTTATCTTCATACACCGCCTTTTTAAATTTTTATTTATTCCCTTGAAATTATTATATTAACAGATGCATGCTCATCACATATATGTATGTAAAAATCTGGAATCTTATACTCACCCCTGGTATATCTGTGTGTGAGTGTATTGTTGATATTGTTTTCTCTGTGTATAATGATTTAGCAATATAATAACGATAAACAGTACTCTTTCATGGGTTACTCCGATGTTTCCTTTTTGATTTTGGAACATGTTCCTCGTGTTACTTGGATCGTTTTGCCTGGGAATAAGGTGTAGAGATCAAGTGCTGTGGAACGACTCGGACTGTATTATACTGTTGTGTGAATGAGGATAAGAACGTATTGAAATAGGGGTGTTTTCGCACAGTGACAGGGCTTGTGTGTCGTTTCTTACTTTCACGATGCAACACGTCCTGCAAATTTCCTTTTTAGGTGTTAAAACTGCGAGCAGGCCCCAATCGATCGCTTTTTAGTCTCAAATTTTTTCGATGTGTTGAGGTATTCCCCAGTTTTTCGACTTATCGGCATTAGATGGTTGGGCGTTGAAGCGTTCTAAGTTTTACATTTACTGGCCTAATGTAGGGGCCAACATAGTGTTAGCGGAATGTCTAGTAATTTGCCGAGACAGTTTCCTGGTTGATCAGCTTAGAAGAAAGTGGATTTCGATTAATTTGAATCGAATTTTGCATGGCACAGGCTTGTGCTTAATCTTTGAGAAACCGGATCATGTTGCAAAGAACAAAATTTCTTTAAACATGTAGATAGTGGGATGATTCAAAGATGTAGATGAAGTGAAAGTTCTTTAATACTCCGGGTCCCATTCAATTGTATTCACTCACGTTGCGGTTACCATTTGTTACTTCCCGTGGCATCTGAATCAGAGCCGATTTTGGCGAATGAACCCCTCTCTCGTTTCCTTTTTGACCTTTTTCTGCGTGTAATATAAAAATAGAAGCAAACATACAAATCCAAGACATCAACATCCCAAACTAAAATTCAACCCTCTCGAGGTACCTGCTACGAGCTTAATTAACGTTGCTCATCGCGGTCTTGTCTTCTCTCCGTTTTGCGGTTAAGGTCGATGGTAATAGAGCTGAATTAGGTAGTAATTTATCTATGAGTTTGAAACAAGGTCCACTGGTTGACAGCATCGCATACCCTCACCTTTTGAATTATCATAGCGCTTAACGGGTTTTACTATTCTTCTACTAACAAGTTGTTCTCTTAAGTTGGCCAATGGTGTTGGTTAGCATTGTTGTTAAATTTGCTCGCATAAGTGTCTACCCCATGACTTCCAATTTGACAAATGTTCGTATTGACCACTTCATCGCCCAAGTGGAGTACTCTTTCCTCATTTGGAAGGGTGTGATAGCAAGGTACACGCATTCTGAAAACCATTTTAGCAGCTTTTAACCGTCATAGTTGTTCACTCTACTCAATGTAAGTTCCTCAAGGAGCTTCGACGACTTATAGCCCTGAACTTCACAAGCGTTCATGCTATCAACTCACAGAGATCAAGGACTTAAAAGAGGAATTAAAAATTATGCAGGCTCGTTTCTAGGTAAATCTTTAAACATTTTTGCTGCTGACCACTTCAAATCCACAAAGCGTTATTCACGTCCACGAGAGAGGGACTGATTTTCACTTTAAATATGCCACAAAGGACTACCTGTAGGAAATTACTGCCCTATGTGACTAATTTGCAATATTAAATACAATAATTGCAAGTCAGTAGCTTAAATATACCTCCCCCCTATCTTTGGCCTGAGGACATGTCATCTTGAATGCAGTGTGGAGTGCTTTAGTATTAGTAATGATAACTTTGACATAAATTTTAATGAGAATTGGCAAACAATTATGCACTTCATAGCAATAACAAGACAGCTCTAATTCTTCAAACGTTGGAAGCAATTCTACCATTTCAGATGAAACGGTATTTTAGGCTCCAATCAACAGCAATTAACCCAATTAAAATTCAAAGGCTCCTAATGACTTTTAGTGAATAAGAGTACATTGTTATATCTCAAAACAACTCTTTAGAATAACTATTTTATTTGCTTTATTCACATAAAAAAACAATTATTCAGACCATTTCATATAAAAGGATAATGCATTATGCATGATCGAAGTTATTAAATATAAACGATTCTCAAGCCCATATCAGAATGTTGTTGATAATTCGGGAAGTAGAAATCTTCTGTAAGTTCCCAGTGATGGTAGAATAGGCTCTTGAGGTGCGTATCCTTCCATATGGAGCTTCTCCCTGATGGCCTTTCTTGACGTGTTTGTGAGGAATGTGACGGCCTCATTCTTTGAAAGCTAGGAGTAAACAAAACCAACATGTTAAGCTGCTCTTTTAAAAAAGTTGAAAGAGAAAAGCCAAAGCTTACGACATCAACAATTTTTTGAAGCAAAGCATATGGACTACCAGGTGGTATTGGGTCTGCAGGCTGCTGAGCATAGAACACAACTAAGTCTTGGAGGAGTTGTGGAACTAAACTTGTAATCAGGAGTTTGGGAGTGTTTGCCAAAAGCTACAAAACATAAAGGAGAGATGAGTTTGGCCGTCAAATTCAAAATCGAAGTGGATGACACAAACTTGAATTCTTATGCATGCAATAGTCCGAATGGATAATCAATTTGAGTGGACAATTTATCCGTGTAGCGTTCAGTACCTTACGAACGCTTTAAATTATTGAAGGTAGATATGCACTATCCTTTCCATGTCGACTCAGCATAAGCCAACGTACTATAATTCCACCTCCAAAAGCATCTATGATTTAAATTTGAACACACAATTAACGAATGCTTTGTATTCTCTAAACTGCTGTACTGAAGAAATCGGTTGAACTTGAAATAAATTGAGCCGAAGTACCCGATTATTTTAAAACCAAATAACACTTTTTAATCAAAACAAAGAACGAACCTCAGCAAGGAAGGCTAGAAGAGACATTGAATAAGGCAATTCATCATTCTCATCAACTTCTTCAAGCAGCAAATTCTCCAAGACAAGTTGATTCCAAATAGTTTCCCCAAATAGAGCCCCTAAAGAGACGAGTAATTAATTAATTTACAGATAAGTGGAGCTTAATATCCAAAAAGGACTTTTTCAGCTATTAACCTCTTTTCGGAACTTTTTGATCTAAAGCCTCCTGGCTGCATTGTTTCAACATTCGTCCAAGCAGAGACGACAGTAATATTTGAAATGGTTTTAATGTGGGATCCAACAAGTTTGAATAAACCGATGCCTGCAACTTAAAAATTAAAGAATTAATAAAGTATTTGCCGAATTTTCAATACAATCATTATGGAATGTGGAGGAGCATAGCTCCATGCTTAAGTATATTCGACCGTTAGTGATTAGGAGAAAACCAGCAAAGATAGTTAATCGATTTAGTCGATATATGAGAGTCAATTGATACTACTTGTGTACCATCAACACAGAAAGGCTGCCTAATATTAGCGGTACTATTTGGAAAATGTATACGTTAGGCCAGTACTGTCAAAAAGCCAGATCAGGCCAAAGATAAATTAAAAAATGGGCTAGGCGGATATTTTGGTAGCATGCATTTGACAAGCGCTCCAAACCTTTAAATAGAAATTAAACTTTGGCGACTCCTCGTAAGAAGGCCAGGGTCCCATTTGCAAGCCATTGGGAGCATATATTAGTAAAAGGGCTGCAGAGCAACACGCTCTTTGGGAAACCATCGCCACTGTCCCTCCTCGAATGCAATGCAGCAGGACTTCAGAAATGGTGAATACTGGCTAAAAGGAGAATATAGGGAAAATAAAATGAAAAATACTAAATAAGAATAAATTTAGGCTTTATTTTTTTAATCGAAATGAAATCTGGATAGGAAATGAACAGTATGCTTCTAACTTGCCAGGAAGACCACTTTAGACCCACGTCTACTCAAGGAAGCACAAGTTAATGCCAAACCTCGATAAGGTCTAAATACGATTGATAAGTAACTCAAACGAACCACTGAAAAAGTAACCCATTCTCACTAAATGGATGGATGATGTCTGGTTAGTTGTGAGCAAAGATCAACTTCCTTTCGTTATGCGTTAATGCTGTGGGACTTAAATGGAGATAAAATGGCTCACGCAAAAGATTCCCCCATTGTCGTTGTCTCGGTATGGAGTTATTGTTGTATAAAGTTTATTTGGACCCTCTCCAAACATAAGGAGTGCTCCCAGTACACAAAGTTCTTCCATTAGCGGAGAATTGGTCATCTTCAATAGTGGTCTCCGAGCATATAACCAGGGTAATTTTGTCGCAGTTAGTCGCTCAAGGATATATGGCGTTACTAAAATGATTTCAGTAGGAAAACAGGTAATTACACAACTAACCTTGATTTATACCATCTTCATCAGCCATTAGCAGACAAGCGTTGAGAATTCTAAGAAGGTTTAATAAGTTTCCGGATGGCTCACATCTTATATCAGTTAGAAGGGAAACCACTAAAGAGCGCAGAAATGTACATAAAAGTGGACATACCTGTTTCGATAAACCGACCAAGGCATAAGCGATTGAGAAAAATTTTATCCAAGCGGACTACAAGTGTTAATAGTCGAAGGAGGTTTATTCGAAAAGGACCTAAAATGCAAATAGTATAAAACACCCCTCTATTAATGAACTTCAATATTCCTACCAGATTGATAGAAGAGAGTACTAGCTGGAACTTCTAATTTTGTTGGAAGGGAAATGAATTGCTCTGCTACAAGCAATGCAAATTTTTCCCCACCGGACTGAGACAATCTTTCGTCTTCAGAGTTTTCAGGTGTGACACTCTTGGGAGTTTCCTTGGATCGCTGAAATGAATTAGTAAGAAGTTAAAGAAAATTAATTATTCTCTTATTATTGGAAATCACTCGAAAGAGAATTAACCATCTGACTGCGATAGTAAACAAGGTGCAAACTTAGCATTACAAAGATCTGAACTCACCTCTATGATTCTCCAGCCATTCTCAAAGGTCTCACTTAATCTTCTAACCACTTTCTGTTGCTCAAGATTTGGCAACAAAGGAAACCATACAGACTAGGAGAGAATAAAGCGAATTAATAAATTTAAACAAACCCAAATCAGAGACAACAACTCATAGTTCATGGGTATTTTATTAATCTGTTCAAGATATGCAGAATTCTCGGTTGAATGACAATGGTATATCTAGAATTTTGACAAAGTAAACCATAATTTACCATCCTTTTAGCTAGAGCGTTCCAAGTCGGTCTCCCTAAAAGCAGAAGGTAAGGAAACCCAGGAAGATCAAGCAAAAGAGAAGTTTGTTGTACAGATAATTGAGGAATAAGGACATCAATTAGTAATTCCGAAGCTAAAACTCAAATCAGAATAATGAATGACTTGGCCTACCTTGCAAACAAATGGGTGACCACTGAAATTCTAACCGTTTAACCATCTATAAGGATTGAATTTGTGCAATTTGAAACTGACTTACCGCAAACGTAGCCAAACATTCAAAAGCAAATATCACAGGCAGTTGTTGGAAGCGCCTAATTCCAGCACGAAGTACACATTTATAAAGACCGAAGAGAAGGCTCATTACTATTTCCTTATTTCCAAAGTCAGAATCTTCGGTACTTGAAAACTCTATGCAGTTTATAAGTGAAGTGGTGACAATAATTAGTGCTGGAAATATTCTTCCAGCATCTGACTCGTAATCACTAATATTCTGCAAGGATATATCGTCAAGAAGTAGGCATACAGTTTCCACATCTGCTCCTGGTATTCGGGGGATATTTCCGAGAACAAGGCTCCAAAAGGTCTCACATTCATTTCTGAATGAACCACTTGGATTATCTAATGTGTTATCAGAAAAGCTCAAACACCCAGTTGCAAGAACATAGGCAGTCAGCTGGATTAAATTCAGAGTAAAGGTTCTAGGGTCGAAAGCATTCTCCATTAGGGTTTCATCATTGTCACTATATCGAGTACATTCTGTAGTAGAATTTCCCAGATTTTTTGCTCTAAGAAGTGTATTGATAACCATAGGGATTGTAATTTTGAAAACAGCTCTGACGTTGTTGTCTATAAGAGTTTGCGGATAGGAGGTAGCTTTACTCCAGCATGTTGACCCACATTCAATAATTTCGGCATTTGAATATCCCTTTTTCAATATTTTTCGAGTGAGTATCAGTACTCTTTGAAGAATACCAACAGGCGCTCTTTCACGGGTAAACAATTTCTGCATTGAATAGGTGAAATTCATAGTAGCATTTCTTACCCAAATGAGTTGTAGTGGTAGGCAGAAGTAGAGAGAATTCAGGACCTTGTTAAACTCAAACAAGAGAGCTTCGTTTGAAGCCTCGCCACAAAAATCGTCACTAAGAAAGAGAAGCAGACTACAAATCATATTTTGTAATTGGTTTTGACTGACTTTTCTAGATGAATCTGAGAATCAATAGCAACGGATAAGGTTTTAACAATCGCTACTTCAATCCTTCTTTGTGTTTCAGTGACACTTGATCCGGAAAATGGAATCAAATCAGGATTGCTCATAAGTATCGACTTTAACTGCGATTGTGAATGAAGCAAACGTTCTTTATAAGCCAAAACACAATCAGTGAATAATTTCAGAGGAAACGGCCTGAAGAGCTGTTTAGATCTTAAATAAAAAGAAGAACTAGAAAAATATGCCGAATATACCTCAGATAAGAACAAAAGCATTTGGAAACTTCGCTGAAATTGGAATCCAAATCACTGAATTCTTTGTGAATTAGCGCGATGAAGTTTTCAATTGTGCTTAAATCGCAAAAGATTTCAATACTTCCAGTATATCTAATGGAAAATTCGTGAAAAATTTCAGCCAAACTTACGTCATAAAGATGCTTTCAAGAATGGAAATATACGTTCTACGATGCATTTTTCCATCTTTCCCATCAATTTGTGTAGACAAAATCTTTTCAAGAACTATAAGATGTGATGCTAGGCTTAATCGAAAGACAGACCATGTGGGACAGCATTGGATGTCATAAAACGTGACGAGTTTGTCATCAGTTTCAGCAGGGTTAATGCATTTCTAAAACCTCGTAATAAGTAGTGATCCCTTACTTTGCAACTTCACGTGTATTGGATAGACAATCAAATACATAATCTTTGATTGAAAGAAAAATGGTCAAAATAGCAAAAGGGATTTATCCTACCCAAAGTACCTATTTCCTGTAGAAACGGAGCAATATTATCACTTTTATCCTCCGTTAACAACGAAATAAGAATAGAGAGGGCAGAATTACGGCAACCCGGTTTATGAGAACTAAGATTCAAGCGTAAAACCATTGGAAATTTTGAATTAGTAATAACACAATTTAATGCCTCCGGAAATTTCATGATCTTGCGAACACACTCTAAAATGGAATAATATGGACACATTCATAATTAAAATTTGAATATACCGAAAACGTTTTCCACAACATTAACCTCTTCGTGCGAAAAACATAAACAATCAAGAAGGGTATCACAACAATTTAACGTAGGAACGTAGTCCAAACTATTGATATGACTAAGAAAAACACCCAAGCAATAGGCTGAACATCCTAGCAGGAGTTGAATTGAATGATGGAATTGACTGATAATACAATGGAGAATAAGTTCTAAAAATGCAATTTAAAAGCACAAACCTTACCTGGTGCGTCTTCGAAAATTATTTCGTGCTTTTCAATTATTTCTGCCAGTAAGATAAGAGCATTACATTTTTCGTTTATTTCATCTTCATCGGAACTCTAATAAAGTGAGAAAATGTTTTCCAATATCCAACCATTTCAAGCCTGAGCGGTGACAAGATTAAAGTAATAACATTTTGATCGATTAGAATATGACAAAGTAGTGCAGAAATGACTAAAATTGAGTTAAAACAAAAAATAAATACTATTCAACAAAAGGGATGCCCAATCGTCCTTTTCAACCAAGTATAAATCTAAAATAGTTAGCGCAAAAACTTCATTTACTCCATAGTGCTTCAAAGGCCGTGAAAAATAAATCATTGTTTTTATTTAGAGTGGAAGCTTTAGTAGGTTGTTGGTTTAGTATGGTAAGACACTTTTGACCATATTCTAGACGTTCCTTTTTATGCCTCTTTTTGTCAGTCAAATTTTCAACTAAGCATACAACGCAAAAAACTTGTGAAGCATCGTGTATTGATTGTAATTTTGCATCTTCCCTATGCAAACAGACCATTTTCACGATATTACGTAGACGAATCAAATGGTGCGCAGTGCTTATAACTTGTTTAAATATCGTCTATTGCAAGAAATGTCGAAAGATATCATAGAATTAATCATTTACCATTGATTTTTAATTAAATTAATAATTGAACAATAATTAATAATAATAATATTTTAATTACATTGTTGGTAAAAATATTTTTGTGTCGTTTTAACAAGTGAATACTCTATGACATATTACGAAATCTGCCATTTCAATTATTGTGTGAAACGTGGCAAATTTATGGCGTACGCTATCCTAACGGGATAAATCTGCCAACCCGAAAATTTTAGAGGGCGTGGCTGTGCATGTAGAGGACTACTCAGCTGGCCACTTCTTAAGACTCATTAGGTTTTGTTGTAAACCTAGGCCCGCTAAACGCAATATTCACCAAACATCTACTTCTTCTATCTCATTGAGGTAGCTTGTTTCATTTCCGGAGCCTCTCCATGTTAGGATATTTTGTTACGAGTTTAGGGATGTTAAGTCAAGGCTTATTCAAACAGTTATCTATTACGGAATTGGTGTCTACAATGTGATTTACTAAGTCCAAAAATATTTTCTCACCCTGCATGATCTGATCAGCTGAGATTCAATCTCTTACTGACACCACTCTTTTTTATTATTCCGCACGCACATCTGTGACATTCTTCCTTATCCAACAACTATCACGGCTTCGACTTGTACCCTTCATCCTTTTTCACTACTACGGGATGTTTACGGAATCTGCTTCTAGTGTAAATGTCTTTAGCACTTCTTGCCTTTATTCTGCTCTCTACTCTGGTCCATGTAGTTAAAAACTTAATTTCTACGACGCTTCACTATGCCAGTTGACAGTGCTACCTCGGAAGGAAAACTCACCGGTTCTGATGTCTGCATCATTCCCTGTTCTAAAGAAGAATACTTTCTTCAACCCAGCAATCTCACCTAACATACGACAGGCAACCATTTTCCAAACTTTTCTTCACCACTCCCCTCTCTTTGTATTTTCAAACACCAAGGTTTGAACATGGCAGAATCTCTTGAGCCTACTTGCCAACAATCCGCAATGATGGCAAATCCAACGAATGAAAAGGATTCCGGGCTCTTCCAAACTGATACACGAGAGCTCTTCAAAAACATCCAGATCTTGCGAATGCCTCCAACTCCATACATAGAGATATCTAAAACTTTCTCCCAGAATATTCTTCTACCTCAACCAGTAGATAAAACAAGAGCAAAAGAGAAATATCAAAGCCTATTGCTCCAAACAAACAAAATCCACCCAACGCAGGAGCTCTAAACATTAACTGCCTTGGAGAATCATAAGATGACCTCCAAGCCTTGCAACTTTACCAAAAAAAGGCAGAAAACAAACTCTAACACTTCAGAGACGGTCCACATCAACCTCTAAATGTTTTCTCGAATTCCATCGTCGTCTACTATACGGCAAACTGTCCGCCAAAAGGGACAACCATCATGCATAAAAATTACCATCAGCTAACATCACTCATTTACTGAGAATACTAATTATATGTACACCCCACCCTGACCTCCCTAATATAACCCCCCCCCCCCCCCCCCTATATATTAAGCTCCCACTCTGCCCATTCCAACCTCTTTCCGATGGCACATCACTCACTGGGAAAAACGACCGCCTAATACACCTGCTTCACTCTCGAAAGGTGTTGTTCACACTCTGTACAATTATCGAGTTTTCTTCTCTAAGACACTCAAGAGGTGGCGTATTGTGGAGTATGCAACCCTAACACGATTACCCTATCCACCCGAGCATTCTGTATGGTGCTGTCATACTGGCAGGACACTCCACTAATTACTAATAATGTTTGCCGTGAGCATAAGTTCGTATACCAATGCCCTACAAATCTACTCCCGTTAACAGCACCGTTAAGATGTAATTTTGACTGATATTACATAATTCATGATTTGACTTACATTCTAATATAATCAGGAAAATTTTTACTTTGTTCTATACCGGCTTATAATGAAATTCGGGGACTCTAGTGAACTATGCATTCATTCAATTGCATTTTGTTAATTATTCTTATTGCCTCTCTCGGCCTAATATATCCATCCATCTGAGTTCAAAAACTCCGATTCGTTATAAGTCTAGCAAGATAGGAACAGAAATATTTATTTATTTATATCAAATGGCAGGCGTTTTGACGGTTATCATTAGCCCTGGAGCTGACTTTGGGGCTTCACAGAGGAGGAGGAACATCAAAGTGACAAAAAGTCGAGAGGGTGGAGGGATTAATGATTTGCAGATGTTAGAGACAGACACAAAAACAGAGTAGTGATACACAGGTGTAAAAGAGACAGACAGATAGACACAAAGGCGTAAAACAGGTAAGATGAGTACTGTGAAAGGGGTCGAATAGGACAAATAGTCGGCCCATAGAAATTTAAAGTCAGACGTCAACTTTTTTGCCGCATGAGTATACGTTGCTCAGGGTGCACCACGTGGAGGTAAGTCTATTGCGCACCCCAGGAACAGAAATATGAGATCTCTTGAAAATACTAAATAGTTCACAGGATATAATGTCCTATTGAACAGCTGCGTGTAACCCGATTATTTGTAGTAATTTGTTGTTGAGTATCATTTTCACCTTTTTAGTCCCATAACAACATCTAGAGGATAGATTGTGTATGGTAGAGAGCGTAGTGATTATGTGGCTGAACCACAGAAAATCATAAAGGAGCAAATGAGATCGCCAGTGCAGAGACCTTTCAGCTAATAAATAGTCAATGCAAGATCGTAGTAGCCAAAATTGGATTTAATGACCAAATTCTGTGTCACTGACATCATGACCTGGATAAATGATTTCTACGTCATACTATCTGTTCCCCACCTGTTAATCTCGGGAACAAACTTATACCTCGGTATTGACAAGATTTAGTCAAGGCTTATTTGCGTAAGATCGGCTAAAAATTCAAAAGATATAACGCCTCAGTGGATAGACACCCGTAACCTCATTACAACTTTTTGGGTCAAATCAATATCACACAGCTGTCATATTTATTTCAAATGGAAGGCGTTTTGATAGCTATCATTAGCCCTTTAGCTGACTTTGGGCTTTACAAAGAGGAGGAGGAACATCAAAGTGATAATAAGTCGAGAGGGGGGACAGAAGAGGGTTTTAAAGATGTAAAAGAGACAGGCACAAAGGTAGATGAAAGGTGCGGTGAGTTCTGTGGAAGTGGTGAAATATGACATACAGTGGGGTCATGGTAGTTTGAAGTGAGAAGTCAACTGCCAGTTAATAGACATTTTTGCCGTATGAGTAAACGTTGCCCAAGGTGAACCACGTGGAGGTAAGTCTATCGCACACTCCAATCACATGGTTTACATAATAATGGCAGAATATGCTACGAATGCACGAAACCTTTAGATTGCATACCAAATTCCGTTTTTTTAACATTTTGTATGAAAACTCCATGCACTCAAAATGACTTAGTTGTTAGCT